ATTCCGTTTGGTCTAATAGACTAATATAGGGGGGGGGGGGGGTTTCCCCCCCCCCTCCCCAAATAAATTGGACAGAAATAGCACAATCGGGATAGGGTTAACCTGGCTTAAAATCAACTTAAGTAAAATTGGTCATATATATTATGTAGTCTTCTAGCTACAGTTTTTTCGGATTCAGTGTGCTGCACGTAATACTTGTTTTAGACAACTTCGTTCTTTGATATTGGAACAGAAGATGACTATAGAGAAGGTAATAATTGGATTTGTTTAAAAATCTAAAAGATATATATGTTCACGAAACATTTTTATAGTTGTGAGAAAAACTTGGGAGAGACGACTTTCTTCTGGAACGATCTAATATAAAGTACAAGGAGTACTAGGAGACCTAGGAGTACCAGGAGTACTAGGAGTACTAGGAGTCCTAGGAGTACCAGGAGTACTAGGAGTACCAGGAGTACCAGGAGTACCAGGAGTACAAGGATTACCAGGAGTACCAGGAGTACCAGGAGTACTAGGAGTACAAGGGGTACTAGAAGTACCAGGAGAAAGGATTACTAGGAGTACTAGGAGCACTAGTACCAGAAGTACCAGGAGTACCAGGAGTACCAGGAGTACCAGGAGTACCAGGAGTACCAGGAGTACAAGGGGTACTAGGAGTACCAGGAGAAAGGATTACTTGGAGTACTAGGAGCACTAGTACCAGAAGTACCACGAGTACCACGAGTACCAGCAGTACCAGGATTACCAGGAGTACCAGGAGTACTGGAGTACTAGGAGTATGAAGAACATCATCTTCACATGGAGTACTATTATAAAAGCAAATCATTACACATGTATTATAAAATCGTATGGTGCATATCTTTCAGTTGTAACCTGTGTCTATCTACAGGGTGTCCCAATAAACACGGGAATTGAGAGACGACTTGAAAGTCATCTTTGATCTCTAATATTTGATGCATGGCAAAGAAAATATAGAAAAAAGGCTGTCCGTCTCACGAGCTATTCATAAAGTGGTCTGCACCTTTCTTGTAACTTAAAAATTGACGAACATATTAAATATTAAGATAATTTTGATTTTTTTAAATAAATTGAAATTGGAAGATTCAAAAAAGGTAGACCACAATTTGAAAATCTCAAGACCAGGCGTTTCGATATTACATATTTAAGCTGGAAAACTGCAATAATTGTGTTCATGAAAAAATGCCTCATTGATCGAAGACGTTATTAAAGTCATCACCGAATTCCCATGTTTATCGGGACACCCTGTAAAATCAAGATCATACGTAACATTAACAGAAGAATATTCATTATTATGCAATATGTACGGGTGTCCCACGGGGGGGCTGGATCTTAGCTACCTCTCCGTGTGTATTGGCCTGAGTGTACAGTTGGGATAGATTACTGATAGGGGATGTTAAGAGATTATGGCCTATTCATACAGTACAAATATCAAATAAGCAGTACGCTTTCGGAGTACAAATGTATGGGGAGGTTTTGTATCTTGAATTTTACTCAGTTTTCTCAGAACAGTTTATTAACAATGATATATTGCTCTGTAAAAGACTGTAAATGTACGTCTTCTTATAAAAATAAAAGAGTAGTGGATTTTAGTAGTTACATGGAAAACAAATGGAAACAAAAAAATAAATATTTAAATATTTATTTAAATATTTTCAGAAATCACCCGCGAGTACTGTAATATACAGATTGGCCTTTGGAAGTGAAGTACATGGCCTGTACAATCAGTAAAGGATTAGCGTACATCATTGCTCTATATATTATAACCTCGTTGGTGTCCTAACTCCCAATATATATGAGCATTTTGAGATGAAATTGATAAGATAAAAAAAAAATTTAAACTAACAAAAATCTAGGATTGATTAATAAATGGTCGTACGTACGTCTTCTGAAAAATTGGGCTATGCATTTTGGTGGGTTTTGTTTACTCAAATACTAATCATTATTGTGTTTACATAAAACGTGTAGCTTGAATAAAAAATACAATGTGTATCTTAATTTCCGTTTTTGTCAACTGTGGAACTTCCTTTATTAGAAAAAAGCAGTGCTTAGGCTCTGGATCCGGATCCGTTGGATCCGCAAGATTTTGGCTTCCTGGATCCGGATCCGCAAAAATATGCGGATCCACGGATCCGGTTCCAAAAATGCAGTGCTTAGGGTCTGGATCCGGATCCGTTGGATCCGCAAGATTTTGGCTTCCTGGATCCGGATCCGCAAAAATATGCGGATCCACGGATCCGGTTCCAAGGGGTAAAATATCAACCAAAAACTGCAAAACAGTGTGAGAACACCTACTGTTGTTGGTTACATTTTTTTATAATTTCGTAAAGAAAAATATGTTGAAATGAGTACGTCATGCAGACTCTTCCTCCCCCCCCCCTCCACCCCTTTCTGAGATGGGGGGGTTGGTCTTTAGAAGCATAAACTATTTTTTATAAATCAAATTTATAAGAAATAGTTTATATTGAGAACCTACTAAAGATTAAAAACAACTTGTGTGGTAATTTTTTCTTTTGTCGATGAAAGGCCCATAAAACAATTTTCATTGAACTGACCAATTGGCAATATATGGCCATAAATGCAAAAATTTATGGCCATAAATGAAATATATGACCGTAGATACACAAGTATATGGCCATAAATGCACAAATATAAGTCAATCCTTTGTTCTCATGAATAGCAGTCTTTAATTCATCACATAAAAATATTATATAAAAAATATTATAAATCTGCATTTTTTTCTGTCTACTTATCTGGGTGGTTATACTGTGCCATTCTTCATATCAAACCGTTAGGTATATCCTGCAACAACAATTTTACCGTTAGAAATATCCTAGAACAACAATCAAACTGTGAGAAATATCCGGCAACAACTATCAAAGCGTTAAAGTTACCATGCTACAACAAAAAACTGTTAAAAATACCATGTAACAACAATCAAATTGTTATATATACCATGCAACAACAATCAAATTGTTATAAATACCATGCAACAACAATCAAACTGGTATAAATACCATGCAACAACAACCAAACTGTTGTAAATACCATGCAACAACAATCAAACTGTTGTAAATACCATGCAACAACAATCGAACTGTTATAAATACCATGCAACAACAATCAAACTGCTATAAATACCATCTAACAACAATCATACTGTTATAAATGCCATGCAACAACAATCAAACTGTTATAAATACAATGCAACAACAATCGAACTGTTGTAAATACCATGCAACAACAATCAAACTGACATAAATACCATGCAACAACAATCAAACTGCTATTAATACCATGCAACAACCATCATACTGTTATAAATACCATGCAACAACAACCAAACTGTTATAAATACCATGCAACAACAATCAAACTGTTATAAATACCATGCAACAACAATCAAACTGCTATTAATACCATGCAAAAACAATCATACTGTTGTAAATACCATGAAATAACAATCAAACTGTTATAAGTACCATGCAACAACAATCAAACTGTTATAAATACCATGCAACAACAATCAATTTGTTATAAATACCATGCAACAACAATCAAACTGTTGTAAATACCATGCAACAACAATCAAACTGTTGAAATACCATGCAACAACAATAAAACTGTTATAAATGCCATGCAACAACAATCAAACTGACATAAATACCATGCAACAACAATCAAACTGCTATTAATACCATGCAACAACAATCATACTGTTATAAATACCATGCAACAACAACCAAACTGTTATAAATACCATGCAACAACAATCGAACTGTTATAAATACCATGCAACAACAATCAAACTGTTAAAAGTACCATGCAACAACAATCAAACTGTTTTAAATACCATGCAACAACAATCAAACTGTTTTAAATACCGTGCAACAACAATCAAACTGTTATAAATACCATGAAACAACAATTAAACCGTTAAAGTTACCATGCAACAACAATCAAACTGCTATAAATACCATGCAACAACAATTATACTGTTATAAATACCATGCAACAACAATCATACTGTTGTAAATACCATGCAACAACAATCAAACTGTTATAAGTACCATGCAACAACAATTAAACTATTATATATACCATGCAACAACAATCAAACTGTTATAAATACCATGCAACAACAATCAAACTGTTATAAATACCATGAAACAACAATTAAACCGTTAAAGTTACCATGCAACAACAATCAAACTGTTATAAATACCATGCAACAACAATAAAACTGTTATAAATACCATGCAACAACAATCAAACTGTTATAAATACCATGCAACAACAATCAAACTGTTATAAATACAATGCAACAACAATCAAACTGTTATAAATACCATGCAACAACAATCAAACTGTTTTAAATACCTTGCAACAACAATAAAACTGTTATAAATACCATGCAACAATAATCATACTGTTATAAGTACCATGAAACAACAATCAAACTGTTTTAAATACCTTGCAACAACAATCAAACTGTTATTAATACCATGCAACAACAATTATACTGTTATTAATACCATGCAACAACAATCAAACTGTTATAATTACCATGCAACAACAATAAAACTGTTATAAATACCATGCAACAACAATCATACTGTTATAAATACCATGCAACAACAATCAAACTGTTTTAAATACCTTGCAACAACAATAAAACTGTTATAAATACCATGCAACAACAATCATACTGTTATAAGTACCATGCAACAACAATCAAACTGTTATAAATACCATGAAACAACAATCAAACTGTTTTAAATACCATGCAACAACAATCATACTGTTGTAAGTACCATGCAACAACAATCATACTGTTGTAAGTACCATGCAACAACAATCAAACTGTTATAAATACCATGCAACAACAATCAAACTGTTTTAAATACCTTGCAAAAACAATCAAACTGTTATAAATACCATGCAACAACAATCAAACTGTTATAAATACCATGCAACAACAATCAAACTGTTATAAATACCATGCAACAACAATCATACTGTTGTAAGTACCATGCAACAACAATAAAACTGTTATAAATACCATGCAACAACAATCATACTTTTATAAGTACCATGAAACAACAATCAAACTGTTTTAAATACCTTGCAACAACGATCAAACTATTTTAAATACCTTGCAACAACAATCAAACTGTTATTAATACCATGCAACAACAATCATACTGTTATAAATACCATGCAACAACAATCAAACTGTTATAAATACCATGAAACAACAATCAAACTGTTATAAATACCATGCAACAACAATGGTGCTGGGGTTACAGTGTGGTACCAGAAAGGGTGCTTTGGAGAACTATTGGTTACTGGGGCTACTGGGTCATACAGGGGGGTACATGGGGGTACTGGGAAATATTTTCGTTTTTTCAAAATATTTGTTGGAAAAAATCGTTCGTTCAGTATAATAACTATAGTTTTTACAAAACTTACCATTTTACCTTTCTCTGAACGATCCATTTCGAATTCTTTTTTCTGAACAATAACANAGTACCCCCACAGTGCCTGTCAGTACCCCTAGTACCCCCAAATGCACTCAATACCACCAAATACCCCCCAGCACCCAATAGTACACAGCAGTACCCAGCAGTACCCTACAATAACCCACAGTACCTCACACTACCCCTCAGCAACCCCAAGTAGCCCCAGTACCCATAGTACCTTGCAGTATCCCAAAGTACTCCACAGTACCCCTCCTTCCCCCAGTATGCACCTAGTACTCCCAAGTACCCAGTAGTACCATGCAGTACCTGGCAGAACCCAGCAGTGTCCAGCAGTGCCCCAGCAGTACCCTGCAGTACCCCACAGTACTCCACAGTAACCCTAGTGGACTTCAGTGCACCCCAGTACCACCCAGTACCCAAAAGTAACCAGCAGTAACCAGTGGTACCATGCAGTACCCTGACAGTACCACACAGTACCCCACAGTACCCCAGGGTATCCACCACTACCCTATTTACTCCCAAGTACCCCTGTACCCCCCAGTACCCCACAGTACCTCCAGTACTCCCGTACCTCCACCCTGCAGTAGCCACAGTACCCCAAAGTACACCCATAGTACCCCACAGTTCCCCACAGCACCCCACTGTACCCCAAAGTACCCCGCAGTACCCAACAGTACCCAACAGTACCCTGCAGATATGGGGATTACAAATTGGCGTTGTTGCCTCCATTAAGTGATCAGCTGATTAGTATTAAACTAGCTTTTTTGTCCATGAAAATAGTGCAAAACTATAAGGAAAACATCCTTAGAAGTGCTTCTGACTCTACTTATATATTTTTATTAAAAATAAAAAATTCTGTTTGGTTTCTGTATCCCCTCCCCCCAATATACCCCAGTAAAGCCCAGTACTTTGCAGTACATTGCAGTACCCTGTACCCTGAAGCACTCTGTATACCCTGTTTCCATCACTTTCCATAAAAAAATTTAGGAATTACAAATTGGTGTTTTTGCCATTCCTCCCTCCAAGGCTCCAATGAATCATCAGCTGTTTAGTTTTAAACCATCAACGGAACCTCTTTTATACTGTTAAACACAAATGAAAATAATGCAAAACTAGAGTAAAGTGCAACCCAGAAAAGCTTCTATATAAGTTATAAATATTTTTGTTCAAAATAAAAATTCTGTTTGGTTTGGCAACTTTTTTCTGCAGAATCTTTCCTACTTTCTGAAAGGTTTCACATCGATATGTATAAGTATATCTACTCGATATAAAGCAATATTTATTAATACTTATTTTAACTCAAACTCTTAACTAAATGAATATAGAAAAAATATGCCGATTTAAGAAAGTTTCAGACAGATATTTGTAATCATCCAGAACAAAAAGTTTTATCAAAATTAAACTTTTCAGGTTTACTGGACGTTTTAAAAAAAAAGCAAAAAAAATCATTTCTGACACCCCTAGTCCTTCAATTATCATACAGGGAAATTTTCATTTTTCTAAACATCCCAACGAAAGATTTGACAGGTTCTTTAATCTTTTGTTTTATAATATTCATGTGCCGCATGATAACCAGAAAACTCTGGCATAGGAAGACGACATTTTAGACTCACGCAAACCAATGTAACTGAACAAGTGATTTAATAAGTAACTAATTAATTTTGTTCGACTTGTAACGACATCAAATACACTGTGATGTTGTCTTTCTGTTCCATAGTTTTCTGGTTCTCACTGTAGCAAAATATCTGATTTTGATTAAACAAACCTTACAATTTTTACCAAGAAAAGTTTCCATTTGAATGTTTATCCAATGTGAACAAATGAAAAATGTATCTGCATATTAAATTGTCAATTAGTAGCTTAACCACAAAAAAACTATAAAAATTTGAAAACTGTTGAAACAAGTGACACTAGGGCCTTGATTATTTTGAAATCTACAGAGATATTTTATTCCATTCATGTATCTACTGAATAAATTTGTTAGTCGAACAGTTAAAATTATTGATTTTTTGATAGAAAAGCAATTCCGCTGCATGCCATTCCGCGCAATTCAGCGCAGTTCCACGCTATTCCGCGAATATTTAATTTCTTTCTTTTTCGCAATTATAGCGCAATTGAGCGCAATGAAATAGCGCAAGCACAAGCAACTATTGCGCGCAATTCCGCGCAACGGAATTCCGATTGGAAACCCTAGACAAAACGGTTAAACCAGTCATGACCCTAGAGAAGGCTTCTAACAATTTCCATAGGAAAAAATGTCAATAAAAACTATAATTCGGAATTAAAAAATATGAAGTTTGTAAAAAAAAATGGCGACTTCAGTGGTGACATTTACAGACTAAAAGCCTAGTGAACATAAAATCATCTGAAATCATATATTTAAAGTTTTTAACCCACTCCTCTTATAGGCACATCGTTATTTATGACTTAAAATAGTCCAATGCACATGTGACATAGAAATTGTGCAATGTAAACAGACCCATTTAACTTAATAACTGATTTAATGAATTACAGATAAAAAAATTTGCTATGTAAAAACATCAAGCAATCTATAATATATATATATATATATATATAAATACAGTATATATACAGTATATATATATATGTATACATAGCAAATTGTTTTATCTGTAATTTATTAAATCAGTTATTAAGTTAAATGGGTCTGTTTATATATATATATATATATATATATATATATATATAATATATATGTATTCATATATATATATATGTAATATGTAATATATATGTAATATATAGGATTGTTAAATGTCCACATTTTCTGGAAACAAATGCACATTATTAAGAAATTTAAAAAAGCTGAAATTTAAAAAAAAGTTTGTTCCGTATTTTCAGATGTTTAAACTAATATTTAATCTAGTAAAACAATGTAAGTGCTTGAAGAGCTGGCAGCTGAAGAACTCCTTATTGTCCTCGAAGATGAAGAGGTGCTTGAAGATCTAGCAGCTAAAGAACTCCTTGTTGTCCTCGAAGATGAAGAACATCTTCTGAAAAATGAATCCTTTGAAGAATTTTTATTTTTCAGCAATATTTCTCTTGAGCACTGCACAGCAGAATTTTGGGGGTAATTAATTGATTTAAAGGGACTGTAAGCGTAATTTAAAGTGACCCTTTTATGTAAATATGGCAATACCCAATTCACAATGGTACTCTTTAAAAGCTTTATCTAATCATGAATAAATAAGATATCAATGTTTATCATTTTGAAAACTTATCACTTTCAATTGTTATTTTCCCTACAAAATTAAATTGCGGATTTCTACTCTGCATAAAAGTAATAGAAATTGCCATAAATCGAACCTAAAATACTACAATATCTTCCACCTGTATGACCAGGTTGCAAGGGTACCGTTTATACTGGACACAATCTGGTAGGCGGGAAGGTACCTGAAGGTTTATACTGGACACAGTCTGGTAGGTGGGAAGGTACCTAAAGGTTTATACTGGACACCGTCTGGTAGGTGGGAAGGTACCTAAAGGTTTATAATGGACACAGTCTGGTAGGTGGGAAGGTACCTAAAGGTTTATACTGGAAACAGTCTGGTAGGTGGGATGGTACCCAAAGGTTTATACTGGACACAGTCTGGTAGGTGGGAAGGTACCTAAAGGTTTATACTGGAAACAGTCTGGTAGGTGGGATGGTACCCAAAGGTTTATACTGGACACAGTCTGGTAGGTGGGAAAAGGTTTATACTGGACACAGTCTGGTAGGTGGGAAGGTACCTAAATACACAACTAGCATAACTAAAGATACTATTATTATTGTATATTTTATTCTAGATAATAAAAACATTGCCGAAGTACAATGCAGATAATCTTCCAGGTTTAGTTTAAGTTCCTGCTTCATCTTCGCATTATTGAACTTGGTTCTTACATGTTGTGAATCGGACATTGCCATTTTTGCATTGGTAAATCAAATAAAACATTTTAAAAGAATTATCTATTTAAAGATTATCGAATAAATATAGAATAAACAGCAGTTTGGTAAAACGCAACTTTACTTTATTGTCCAATCTATTATTAAACATTAAATCTTAGATTTTGTCAATTCTGAAAAAAAAACTTGAAATCTTCATATTTTTTTATTTCAGAGTTTCCCCTGGTTTCAGTGGAAATTGTACTCCAGGGTTTTTGAAGGATTCCTGGTTCAAAAGTTTTTATCTCACGAATATATTCGTAATTATAGCAATAGGTAAATATTCTCCTTTAATTTATCAAATTGTATTAATTTGCCTTATTTTCTTCATTATACTTAGAAACATCATATAGGACGGTAAAAAAATCTATTTCAAAAAAGTCAAAAAAAAATAGCTTTAATATTTCAATTAAAGCATCCAAATAATTCCTTTTTCAATTGTTTCAAAAAAATAGATTCACATCCAAATATTTATTTGTAGAAAAAAGAATTGTGTAAACTATGATGATTTACTTATTATTAAGAACTTTTGTCTAATTTAGGAGGGATTGGCAATCTTCTAACGATTGTATCTGTCTGCTGTGTTTTTTTAAAGTAAACATTTTGAATTCTATTCTTATAAATAATAAAAATCAAGAAAAAAACTTTTATCAAATGAAATGAAGAGTAGATCTTTTCTAACTATTTAAGTAAGAATTTGAAATGGTTTTACTAAATATGAGATAATATAATTCCAACAATTTTTGACAAATCGTTTCATTGAGAGTAAAATTTAACGAATTTTAGGAACCCTTCGACCAGACTAAAATATCCATGGATAAAAAATCCTTTAATAATTCTGTTAAGTGATTCCAGGGACCAGAATCACTTTGTTGATTCCAGGGACCGGATCTCAGTTTCCAGTTCCAACCAAAACTACTGCGCATGCGTTTAGAAAAAACTCAGAGCATCTTCCGGGCCTTTGTCAGTTTTACTTCAGCGGAAAGTTCTAGAATCATTTTAAGATTGATATTTGTTCCGTGAGGATTCGTATAAAAATTTCGTCACATATTTCAAGTTTTTACGATTTGAGTTTATATCTTTAGTAAAAGAAGCTCGTTATTGAGTACTAGGTTTTTTCAGAATCAAGGAATAAGGAGAAGGTTTGGAAGAACGGACGGATAAAAGTGGTTTTCTATCTTATAAATCGTCGGAGACGAATTAAGGTATTTTTTAGATCAAATGTGAACATTTGGGGACAAGAATTATGTTTTTAGTATTGGTATAGTTTTTCTCAGAACCTGGGTTAGTACAAGCAAGACGTGTTTTAGTTTTGACAATATTAGAGTTTGAGGCGTCTTGCTGGTACTTTTAGATTATTGATGAAACCTTGTAAATATTTATACATATGATATATATCTCTAGTTTTGAATTGAGATTTGTGATGCTATGAGAGATGAATAAATGATGAGAAGTACTGTTTCTGTTCTTATCTGTCACTAGCAACATAGATTCCAAGACTCGTTTTTCAGCGATGATTTCAAGGTAGAGAAGCACTTGATTTGATTATGCCTTCTTTTGAGTTTTGTTACGAAACATTCAAAACTTAATTTTTCTCGATACCAGTCGGGAATTTAATGGCGGGGATCAGTGAGGGAAACAGGGAAGGCTCCCGCAAAAGGTCTTGTTCTGAATCAGATTCAGATAAAATTAGCGGATTATCCTTCGGCCCTGATTCCCCTACTAATCGGAACCCGGATTTAGATATTCACCCTGATCATATTAATTATCGTTCTAACCCTAACCTGCACTCCCCCGAGGATTTATACATAAAAACCCCGGTGGGGGGGGGGAGAATCTTTAAGAAAAAGGGCCGAGAAACAAGATAGGAGAAAGGATCAAAGGATTAGGAATTCAGATAACTTGATCGAGGGAACAGAATTAACTAGTTCCAATGATGAAGTCTTTACGCATTCCATCCCCATCCAGGGTATTCAATCCCTTTCCGGTGGTCCCAACTTTATGGACGACCATTCATCAGACCCCCCCCCTCTTACAACTAACCCCCCCCCTTTTTTGGAACCTATTAGGATCCAACCTGAGAGTACGGAACTGATAGATTTGGACAATCCAATAGACCTAGAAGATTCAGTAACTATTAGCCCTACTGTCCATCATGCCATCCCCCCCTCATTCGAGCTACAACCATCCCCCCCGTCATTATCATCTGAAATTCAAGTAGTAATTAATAAGGAATGGGAATCCGCTTTACTGAAAGATAAGGATGAGATTTTGAATCGGATTAAGTTATTAGAAGATAAACATCAGGATGTAGTATCTGTCCAACTAAACCAAGAGAGACTTTTGTCCACTATAGAGCAGGAAATTATAGAACTTAACTCTTCTAGCTCTATTAGGGATCAAAGATTAGATCACATGGAAAGAACAGTGGATCGAATAGACAAGAATGTGAAGATATACATTGATACAAGAGTTAAGGAAATTAATATGTCGATAGATTCTGTCAAATCAGGATATGATAGTGAGACGGTCACAGGTCAAATTAAAGAGAATGTTAGGGAGATACTCAATAATTCCATACCCGGAGCAGATTTGAGACATTTAAGACAAGAGGTAGATCCCATCAAACACAAGAATAAGCGAGATGAGATTGTAATTGACAACCTAAGAAGTGTAGTCACAGAAGTTAAAGATCAATTAGATAGAACTCTTGAATCTCCCCTCAACTTCTCTATGAGAACCGAGATCCCTCCCAGAGTAAGTTTAGAAAAGAAAGAGAAAGAGCGAGACTTAACTAAGAATGCAATTGATAGTTCTACCAAACTCTTGAGTCAATTAATAGAAACCAAAATATCAGAATCTTCTGATCTTGCCATCATCAAGAAATGTAATTCTGATGTGAAAAAGGTTACAGGTTATTCCAAAACCTGCCATGATCTTTTAATGAAGTACATTTCTTATGATGATATAGATTCAAAATATTATTCCCAGACAAAATCCTTATTAGACAGTGCAAATGATTGGATTATAAATGTTGAACATATTTATTCCTCATCTGAAGCTCACGCTTCTTGCTCTGTTAAGGGAGATCTTAGTGGGGTCGGAATCTTCTCTAATAATGCAAATAAGTCTATCTATGAATTCTTTGAAGATCTAGAGATTGCTTTAGTGGGTTGGGGTTCAAATAAGCAAAGAGCTATGTTAGTATTCTCCAGGCATTTGACTGAAGATATAAAGGCTAAATCCCTTAATATTTCTGATGATTACCAAAAACTTAAAGCTTGGTTATTCAAGGAATATGGGTCACCTCATACGATTGTTTCTGACATTATCTCAGGTTTGGCTGCAAAGCCTAAACCTGTTCAGAGTAGTGACAAACAAAGATATGAATTCTATGCAGATATCACCTTAGGAATAGCTAGACTAGACAGATTAGCAAGAGTACCATATGTAGATATAGATGAATTAGATAATATTCTATATTCTCGCAACACTCTTTCATCCCTATTTAAGATTCTCCCCCCCCGAAGATTCAAAATCTTTCAATCATCATATGGAATTAAAGAGATTAGATTGGAAAAATCCCCAAGGGGCTAGAACATTTGCCTTTTTTAAAGAATTATGTGAAGCTCAACGCAATATTCTGGAACCCTACAAGGGATCTAATCCTAAGTCAAACTCCCCCCCATTACCCAAATCTAGAACAGTGTTCAATGTAAATCAAGGTCAACCAACACCCCCCCCCTTTCAGAGAGATTTGTCTACACATGCTGCTGGGTACTCTCCGGTTAAGAATTGGTTTCCTCCAGGTTCATCATACCCTTGCCCCTTGAAAGGACACGCTCATGAAATGTTTCAATGTAAAGAATTCTTCAGCATGAATCCTCATGTTAGATGGGAAGCAACCCCCAAGGGTAGGATATGTTACTGTTGTCTGAAACCAAAATCCACTTGTAAAGATAGGAAGTGCTCATTTGAATCCTCAGTCCCAGAAGTCCTCATTTGTCAGGGTTGTCTTGAATATGCTAGAGAAAAGGGATTATCTCCTTTTAATATCATGGACTGCAGAAAGATAAGACACGGCCCAATGAGAGCTCCGTACCAGGATATTAAGAATGCATTTGAGACCCATATGGGCAAGTTCCCTGAGAATCTCCAGGATGATTGTATCAGATATTCTGTTAATTTTACTCAACAAGTGTTCTCCCTTGGTCCTTGTTCTGATAAGGTTGAGCGTAGCTGTTGTGAAAAGCCTTCAGAGTTAAGTATTGAGACCCCTACTATTAATACTCAATCTGGCATCAGTGTACCAACAAGGTTAGACAATACTGTCCCTGAAATTAATGAGCACTCAGCTTATCTCATGCAAATCCTTAGAATTGGAACCGAAGATGTTTTGACCTTTTTTGATAGTGGTGCAAACACTAATTTAGTAAATGGAGACTTAGCAATCGAGCAAAAACTTCAAATTATTACTAAGAAACCCACTAAACTCACTGTTGTTGGGGGGGGGGGTTCAATCACCACTGAGATGGGTAAGTTCAGATTCAATTTAGGACCATTGGAGTCAGGAACATACCATGAACTTAAATGTCAAGGTATATCTAGTGTAACTTCAAAGTTTGAGAGATATGATTTATCAGAGATAAATGAGGAGTATAGATCGAATAAGATTCACCCTTATAATGGGGAGCCACTACCAGAGTATGCTGCGGGGGATGAGGTCAAACTTTTGATAGGTATCAAGAATAATCATCTTAATCCCACACTAATAACTATCCTACCTTCTGGAGTAGGGGTTTATAAGAGTCCCTTTGTAGACATTTTTGGATCTAGAGTAATTTACGCAGGTCCCCACTCTTCATTCTCTAGAGTAAACTCCAATCTGAGTAAAGATTTATCTCATGCAATTTTTCATTTAAGAGAAAAAACCTTTAATTATCAAGGACGGATTGAGGATCTATATCCTTCAATCCAAGTTGATAAAAGGTTTAATATATCTGTTAATCCCACACCCATCCCAGAGAGCACATTGTTAGAAATGGGAGGAGAGATAGAGGAAGTAGAATTTCTTAGTAAAAAACATGGATCAGATAGCAATTATAGACAGGCAAAACGAATATATCTAGCTCAGTGTAAGAAACCTAGTATAGAGAGAGAGGGAATGAAGAAAGCTCATAAAGAACTAGTAGAAAAAGGTTTTATGATCAAAATGCAGGATTTACCTAGTGAAACCCAAAACATGATCAAAACCGCTAAATTCCGGCATTTCTATCCTTGGTTCATAGTTGCAAAGGAAGATTCTCTTAGCACTCCAGTTAGAATGGTAGTAGATCCATCTCAAACTCATTTGAATATCATTCTCCCTAAGGGAGAAAACAAACTAGGAAATATCTTGGATATAACTATAAGGAATAGAGGAACAAGGTTTAGTTATTCTAGCGATGTGAGCAAATTATACAACCAAATACATCTTCATGAATCAGCTTTTCCATACTCATTATTCTTGTATCATGATACCTTAGACCAAGATGTACAACCTGATATATATGTAATGGTAAGGGCGTGGTATGGAGTAGTAAGTACTGGAAACCAAGCAGGATACGCTCTGGATAGATTGGCAGAGGAAGGTAAGGATAAATTCCCTGCAGCAATGGATTCTCTCACTAAAGATAGTTACGTAGACGACATATTATCAGGAGCAGATTCCCAGGAGGAGAGAGATGAGCAAATATCACAGGTTCAGGATCTCCTTTCAACAGCAGGTTTTAGTTTGAAATATGTGGTACTGAGCAGAAGAAAACCAGATATTAAAGCTAGCTCTGATGGAAAGACTATTAAACTATTAGGATATAAGTGGAACACAGAATTGGATATATTATACCCTGGGGTCTCAGAGCTAAATTTGAACCGAAAGAAGAAAGGTATTAAAAAACCCAACCCTCACCCGGTAGTTACTGAGGAGGATGCTGATAATTTATTATCCCAGGTTAGTCTTTCTAGAAGGATGATTATTTCTAAAATAGCTGAAATTTTTGATCCTCTTGGACTATGGGAACCTATCAAACTACAGCTGAAACTGTCATCCTCTGAACTAAACTCAATTCCATGGGATAAAACCTTGGACCCAGCAACACAGGTGAAATGGAAGAAGATCTTATCAAAATTCACCTCTTATGGAGAACTCTCTGCAAAGAGGTTTCCTTTTCCTGAACATATAAATATCCAACAGCCCTTCAGGTTGATTTGTCTCAGTGACGCAGGTAAACTAGCAGGAGGAGCTGCGATTTATATGAGTAAAAAATGTATTGATGGATCATGGTCCACAGCTTTGCTCTGCTCTAAATCTAAGTTAATGAAGGGTACAGTACCAAGAAATGAATTATCTGCTATATTACTAATGACAGAATTAGCATACATAGTCAAGAGATCATTAGGATCAAAAGTGGGAGAAGTAATTTACCTAACTGATTCAACAATAGCTCTATCATGGATTCACAACACTAATATTAAGGTTAGGGCTTATATTTTTTCTCGAGTTCAAGCAGCAAGGGGTATGATTGAATTAACCACTGGATCTAAAACGGTACCGCTTTTTCATATAGATGGGAAACTAAACCTAGCTGATCTCCTGACCAAACCCCATGAGTTATCAGTTGAGGATTTAGGTATTGGTTCAATTTGGCAACACGGGGCTTCCTGGATGAATCATGACTCACATTCTCTCCCGATATCCCAGTATCAAGACTTGCTAATATCTAGTACTGACAAAGATAACATTATGGAGGAATGTTTTATTGAGCCCTTTAGATTTGATCCAAATATTAGTGGTATTCACTCCATACACGTAGGACAAGAATTCTTGAAGTTTAGGAAACCTGATGGTAGGAGTAATTTTAATTTACTTGTTGATCCAGTATCTTGGGGATGGTTGAGATCATTAAGGATCATGAGCTTCATTGTATCTTTCACACAGTACGTCATTCACACAACCCACAGCCAGTCATCCCACATGTCCTGTAAACTCTGCACATCGGAGAGGGAGTTTGATCCTAGAGATTTTTTGGATATGGCTCGGGATGAGTTTTTTAGAGCTGAATCTAAAGTGGTAGGGTCATCTTTGTCAAACAAGCAGTTGTCAAAATACAAGTTTAGGAACGGAATTTATTACTTTGTAGGAAGGATTACAAGTAATAATCCATTCAAGCAAAAAGATTTAGACTCTGTCCCATTCTTGGACACTCACACGTTTGCAGGTCATCTTCCTGTTGTACTTATAGACTCCCCGATCTTATACTCTCTGGTGATGTACTTACATTGCAAGAAAATACTCCACGTAGGAGTTGAGAGAACAGTTAAAGAGGTCTTCAAGGAGGTCATGGTTCCAAGTGGTTTAAGGAGGATGATAAGAAAAATAAAGGCAGATTGTACAACTTGTAGGTTATTAGAGCGCAAGGTTGTAGAGATAGAGATGAGTGAGCATCCATCATGTAGGACGATAATTTCACCTCCATTCAATAGTATGATGTGTGATATTGCTTTTGGATTTAAGGGATCAACCTTCAAAAATTCAAGATCAACATTAAAATTTTATGCATTAGTCTGTGTTTGTTTATTGACTGGAGCTGTAAACATTTTATTGATGGAAGGTCTAGAAACCCAGGATCTAGTTGCAGCATTAGAAAGGTACTCAGCTCGCCATGGAGTCCCCTCTGATGTCTATGTAGACTGTGGTACTCAACTAATGGCTTAAAAGCATGTCAGATTCTCTATAAGAGATGCGGATACTCAGCTTTATGACTCTCTAGGGATAAGAGTACATGTGAGCAATGCAAAGGCACACTCTGAAAGAGGAAGAGTAGAGAGAAAGATAAGATCTTTGAGAGAAATGTTAGAGAGGATGGGAATTACAACAGCTAATCCTATGACTAGCATTCATTCTCCTTCTGTGATCTGCTGTACTGTTTGTTTGGTTTACCCTTCCTCACCCTGCCACCTCTCTACGGATATTTTCCCTTCTCTATGCGCACTTGCCGCGTAACATCACTTCTCAGAAATCTCAACGCCTTTGCGGAATTTTTAACCATTGTGAAAGCAATGGTTAAAAATATTATTAAGGTAATGAAAAGGTCCGCGGCAGCAGATGAAAAAATTAAATCTAATTTAAAATGGGAGGGGGGGGGGGGTGCAATTATAAAGAAATAATGAACAATTAACAAAACAATCAAACAATATATCCATGTTCCTTATCAACATGTTTCGATTTTCTAACTTTGATGTCCAAATATATAGTCTCAGTTTGAAACACCAAAGGTTTACACCATCAGGTTTCAAAGATATATAGATTAGAAAAATTAAGTTTGTAAATTTTTTTGTATTTATTTTTGATAATTTCTTATAATTGCTAAGTGTATTCATGCTGATATGCCACAAGGGCCCACTTTTACCCAAATTAACCAATTCTAATGTGTCTGCAACTAGGTTTAAAATTGAGAATCTAATAACAATAATAATCATGTTTTTTTCAGATTAACAGGAATGATGAGAGAGCGGTACAGAACTCCTCAGCTTAGCACTAGTTCCTTGACACCCTGTAGGTAGAGATAGGCATAGTCTGTTTTGAACGAACTAAATTTTTCGTGAAAAAGGGTGTAGTTCAGAAAAAAAACGAGCGATGGATGAACAAAATGGGTTGTTCAGGAAATAAAAAATAATCGGTTTTTTTAAATGAACAATATAAAAGACAAAAATATATGTTTTAAAGTTGTTCGAAAAAAACTTGAAAAAAACGATGGCCTTTTTTTACTAAACGAACTAATTTTCCAAAAGATTTTTAAAAAAACAATCGTTTTTTTACCGAACAAAAGATTTATTTTTTGACCGTTTTATGTACTGACAGAACAATTTTATTCGAACAAACTTTTGAAAACGAACTGAACGATATTACTAAACAATCTTTCAGTGAAAAAACGAATGAAATATATGAAAATAAACGATAAGTTTGAGAACGGACAAAATCAAATATGTTTTGAACGATTGAAAAAAAAACAAGAACAAAATGGGTTGTCCAGGCACAATTAAGGAACGAAATAAACGAAATAAAGCAGAACGCGCCCATCTCTACCTGTAGAATGATTTTATTCTGCTGCATAATCTGGATCCTCGCATTTATCATCATATCTCCGATAGTATTCCAAGTCAAGAAACCGATAGATTTCGGTAGGTTCGGATACAGCCCTGTCGGAATGTGCAACTTGGAACCTGGTATTTTGTCGGATTCCAGAGCAGGATTGGTTCACACTATAGGGTTTGCAGTACCCTGCCTTATTATTAATATATCCTATATAACCCTCTCCTATATCCTTAAACATAGATCTAGGAGAATTAGAAACGTGATAGGGAAGTTTTAAAAATAGTTTTGATATTAACGTTTTTAATAATTTAATTAGAATCTTGCATTTGTCTTTTAAACCGTTTCCATTAATGAAAGGAATTGAGTTTTTGCCAGAAACTCTTATTTTCTAATCCTTATATCTCTGCAACCCAATGTCGTGGACCTTAGATATTTCAAACTATAAATTCTATTAGATCAAATAATCTTAAGTTTGAAATATCAAAGGTTTACAATATCCGGTTGCGAAGATATAGAAATTAGAAAATTTAAGTTCGTGGCAAAGACTCAATTCCTTTCACCATTTTTTCGTATTTCATCCTAGATAGATAGATAGATAAAATCTTCACATCTACCTTTGAGTTTGTGTCATCTAGAATGTTCTTCAACCCTTTTATCTAAAATATTTTTATTATTATTTTAAAAACTTGAACAGAGGCTCAGCACACTGACACAGAGAAAGTTAGGAAAATGTTTCTGTTTCTAAGTACTAGTTATCTAGTACTAGTTGGTTCACTCACTCCAATAGGTAACTTTTAATAGAAGGATCTAGAACAAGAATATATAGATTCACAAGATCGACAAGAAGGACAAGAAGGACAAGATTGACAAGAAGAACAAGAAGGACAAGATCGACAAGAAGGACAAGAAGGACAAGAAGGACAAGATTGACAAGATTGACAAGATTGACAAGATTGACAAGAAGAACAAGATTGACAAGATTGACAAGATTGACAAGATTGACAAGATTAACAAGATTGACATGATTGACAAGAAGAACAAGATTGACAAGATTGACAAGAAGGAGAATATTGACAAGATTGACAAGATTGACAAGATTGACAAGAAGGACAAGAAGGACAAGATTAACAAGATCGACAAGAAGGACACGAAGGACAAGATTGACAAGATTGACAAGATTAACAAGATTGACATGATTGACAAGAAGAACAAGATTGACAAGATTGACAAGAAGGAGAATATTGACAAAATTGACAAGATTGACAAGATTGACAAGATTGACAAGAAGGACAAGTATGACAAGAAAAACAAGATTAACAATTTTGACAAGATTTACAAGATTGATAAGATTGACAAGATTGACAAGATTGACAAGATTAACAAGATTAACAAGATTGACAAGATTGACAAGATTGACAAGATTGACAAGATTGACAAGATTGACAAAAAAGGCAATAAGGAAAATAAGAACAGGAAAGCCAAGAATGACAATAAGGACAATAAGGACAATAATAGCAAAGACAATAAGGTCAAGAAAGACAAGAAGGACAAGACGGACAAGAAGAACGTTAAAAAATAACTTGATTGACAAGATAGACAAGAAAGACTTACAGAAAGTACAAGAAGAAGATTTACAAGAATTATATTGTATAGAATGGGCGGATAGAAGGTACAAGATTTACAAGAATTATATTGTATAGAATGGGCGGATAGAAGGTACAAGATTTACAAGAATTATATTGTATAGAATGGGCGGATAGAAGGTACAAGATTTACAAGAATTATATTGTATAGAATGGGCGGATACCTATATGAAGCAGAGTACAATAAAAGCGTATATAACCCTGTTCTCCTATTCTTGGTACTGGTGGAACTATACTATTCACTTTCTAGGTTTATAATCATAAATTATAGGAATTTTCATTTAGGAATTTATCTTCTTTTAAAAAATTAACTTTGAATTTATTTTTAGATTTGTTTTATTTTTTTATAACCAAAAGAATTGTTAAAATATTTTTGGAAAATAAAATTATTTATTTCAGGAGAACATTTTAGAAAGGAAATAGATTTTTTTCATTTAACAAAAATTCAGCCAAAAAATATCAAGTGCACTCGCAGCTGCCAAAATAGTTAAAAACAATAAAGTTATAATTATAATTATAATTTTCAGTTATATCCCTATATTTCAAGGTAAATACAATTTTCAGAATTCTGTTTGAAAATTATAAAACTTACCATTTTTGAGTTTTTTGCCATCGCAGGGTAATAAAATATCTTTTTAAATTGCATTGGTATTCCCAAATTCATAGTTATAAAGAAATTTTGTTTTTTCTCTCAAACTTGTAATCTTTAAGCATTATTTATAAAACAAACAGAATATGTTATCTTTTCTATAAATCGTTGTTATTAAATATAAAAGTAGTATAGGCTTAAACCTAAACACTAGGAGTTGATATCAACCTATATGAGTTCTATCTGATATTTCATGTCTTGAGAAATTGATGTAAAACTGTGTAGACTTGGTATAGGAATCCACGATATCTTACAGATCAACAAGATCTTACAGATCCAGAATATCTTACAAATCCAGAAGATCTTACAGATCCAGAAGATCTTACAGATCCAGAATATCTTACAGATCCAGAAGATCTTACAGATCCAGAAGATCTTACAGATCCAGAAGATCTTACAGATCCAGAAGATCTTACAGATCCAGAAGATCTTACAGATCCAGAAGATCTTACAGATCCAGAAGATCTTACAGATCCAGAAGATCTTACAGATCCAGAAGATCTTACAGATCCAGAAGATCTTACAGATCCAGAAGATCTTACAGATCCAGAAGATCTTACAGATCCAGAAGATCTTACAGATCCAGAAGATCTTACAGATCCAGAAGATCTTACAGATCCAGAAGATCTTACAGATCCAGAAGATCTTACAGATCCACGATATCTTACAGATCAACAAGATCTTACAGATCCACAAGATCTTACAGATTCACAAGATCTGTAAGATCCACAAGATCTATAAGATCCACAAGATCTATAAGATCCACAAGATCTATAAGATCCACAAGATTTATGTGATCCACAAGATCTATAAGATCCACAGGATGTATAAGATCAACAAGATCTATAAGATCCACGAGATCTATAGGATCCACAAGATCTTTAAAGTCCACAAAATCTACAAGATCCACAAAATCTACAATATCCACAATATCTTATAGATCCACAAGATCCACAAGATTTTTAAGATTCACAAGATATCTAAAATCCGCAATATTTTACAGATCCACAAAATTTATAAGTTTCTAAAAAAATTTTATATTTATAAGATCTACAGTTAAAATATTTCAGGATTTCTCAAAAATCTATTCAGTTTTCTTGAAAGATGTGTTCTCTCTTCTCTCTGCCTGCCTCTCAGTCCAAAATAAACAATCCGCCAATTTAGCTGGAAGAACTATAGCAGCTAATGCAGCTGAAGCAGCTGAAACTGCTGGAGGAACGGAAGCAGCTGAATCAGCTGAACCAGGTTGAGGAGCTGGAATCATAAACCATGGTTTCCAAATTAATAACTTTTATGTTTTCGGTGAAAATTCAGATATTTTGAGATCTGTAAATGTATGTAACATGGATAAACTTAAACAAGAAATGAATGGGCCAAGTGTTCATAAACAAAATCAATCAGTGAATGGAAAATTTAACGCCTGTAAACTTTTATCCCTGTACAAGAGTACACCCTGCAGTATGGTTGAGTGCAATAAAGAACCGGTTCAAACAATTGTTTACTGTGCAAAAAAGAATCTGAAAAGACGTAATTCCGTTTGATTAATTTTCTTAAAATGTTAAAAGTATCCATGCAGAATGAGGACAAATCTATTAAATCAAAAAAAATTAATGAAACTAAATCTTTCACATTTTAAATATTGTGCTTCGCTTCAATTTCTAGTTTTCTTTATTTATTTTTGCGTTGGTATGAATAACCAGGAATAGTATTAATTAATTAATAACTAAGAGTCGACTTTGACATTAGAAATCGAATTAACATTCAACATAAGTAATCTGATTTCAGTAATAGTTTTTCAAGAAACAATAATCAGAGAATAGGCCGAGTCCTGTTATCTCCATAATGTGGTCTGCCATTTTTACATGATATGAATGATTTCGTCCAGAATGATACTTTCACGATTATCTTAAATCTATGTATAAATTTGGCTTGTCTGTCTGGGTGTTCGTTTGTTTGTATCCAATAAACGTCAAAACAGCTGAACCGATCTGGCCCAAATTTTTTGTGGGACATCTAGGGACCCCAGGGAAGGTTTATGAATGATCAAAATTTCAAATATTTGTCTCCATCAAAATTCGATCTTCATTAAATTTTTGAAAATTTTGAAAATCCACGAATTTTTTTTGTGAAAATCCGCGAACTATTTTTGTTTTGTTTTACGATGTACACAAAGAGAACATGTTCACAATTAATTTAGAAGATGGGTGCGAAGCGCCCTCTAAGGTTAGTAAATTGAAATTTAAATAACATTCTTAATACTTCTGGTATTTTTGAGAGCAAAAAAAATGGCAGACTACATTGGAAATGGCAGGATGAGGACTATTTTGTGATTATTGTTTCATTAGAAGGATTGATAAAATCAAGTTAACTTCTATGAGTTTTGTAAACTTTTGAATGGTGGATATCGAAATCAATGCTTGATCCTCTCTTTTTGCTAAAGGAAGATTAAAAAACAAAAATGGGAGGAAGAAAGAAGAAAGAATGGAAGAGGAAAGACGAAAGGCAGAATAAAAAAAGGAAGGAGGACAGAGACGGAATTTAAAAAAAGAGGAAAGAATAAAGACTGAAAACTAAGAATGAAAAAATAAGAATGAAAAAAGAAAGAATGAAAAAAAGAAAAAAGGAGGAAGTAAGAAAATATGAAAGAGAAATCGGCAAAGTAATAAAGAGGAAAAAGGAAAAAACAAAGAAAAAGGAGGAATGAATGAGAAAGAATGAGTTAGTAAAGAAGGAAGGAAGGAAAAGGAAGAATGAAAGAGAAATAGAGAAATATGCTGGGGGGTGTAAGTCATAAGAGGAGAAAATCGGGGGGAAATGTTTTAATTTGTTGGAAAAATCTTACAGCCTTGTTTAGCGTACACTTTTTGAGGTTTTCCTCAAATTTGAATATTTGGTTATTGAGCCTTGAGGTCAAGGATGTAAGGCAAGGAAAGTTATTTCAGAAGTGTTCACATCTTTTGTACTGCAGTGTACTGTCTCTGGGCGGTAATGTAAACACAAGACGGATGTCTAAGCCTGACATGGGATCCATCTTTCACATAAAAAAATCAATGAAATATTATGGTCATAGGAAACTATTATGTGAATTATCAAAATTATCAAAATTTAATGCTTTTAACCTCCTTGGATACTAAACGAACACTGATGCATATAGTATTGTTTACAAAATCCGCCCAGAGAGAACTGGTTTCAATATGTACACAGAGTGTACACTACCGCAATTGACTTTCTTTGCATTACACCCTTGCTTGAGGTAATGTCTATATATTTTTGTCTGATAATAACTTGGAAACCCATTGACCGATTTGCCTTAAAATTTTATTGGGAAACTCGGGAGAGCCACAGGAATGTTTATAATTTGGCTTTGAGATTCTGAGTTGAGCATGTGTTGACTTTAATTGGGAAAAACAGCAAGGGGCGTGAAATATAAATAACTATTTTGGGCTTCACAATTGGGTTGTTCAGTGTTAGTGTACACTGAGTGCACCAGTGATTGAAGAGTATAATTCTATTTTTGTAACCTGTAACTGGACTAAATTTCAGTTACTGAGGTTACCAAAATATTATCATGATGGATTTCATGTGGGTTTTACTCAATTCATAATTAATATAAAAGTCAGAATACTTCATATAGAACACGTCCGTGGTTTAAATTGGATCAAAACCTATGATATAAAGTATTGTGAACAGTATTATTATTTCATTGCACTTAAATTAAAATGAATGAATGAAAAAGGATTTACAGGATTAACCATGTCCCTGCTTGGGGTACTTGAAAACCAGGATATGCTGGGGATAATAAATAATAATTAATGATTAATGTAACATTTTTCGTTTAGAAGATGCATTTGATTCAGTACCGCACCCTCTCATAATACATACCCTAAAAAGGTTTAATGTTCCTGCAGAAATTCAGCTTTAAATCAACACCCTGTATAATAACCAACTTTCCCGTGTATTTACGGACAACTTCTCTACTGATGGATTCCCCTTTAAAAGAGTAGTATTTCAAGGTGACCTGCTTAGTCCCATCATATTTCTGATGGTTTTCAATCCAATCATTGAATTTCTACAGAGTAAGAAATAAGAATGATTGTGGATTTCATCTGAATGAAGAGAAATTATTACTCTGCCATATGCTGACGATTTTTGCCTGATAACAACAGATCTGAGAAAACATCAAAAAATTCAAAATGAAATAAAATCGAAGATTGAAAGTATGGGAACGAGATTAAAACCAGCAAAATGGAGATCATTTTCCATCAGATCAGGTGTACCTAGCAGAATAAACTTTACTATTGGTGAAACTGAAATTCCAAATAAATTTCAAGAAGAGCAGAAATTCCTTGGTAAACTTCTATTTCCTACTGGTAAACTTAGTGATGCGTTCGATTACATCAAGAGGGAATTTGAAACAAAACTAATAAATATAAATGCACTTCTTATCCGGGATGAATATAAAGTCTGGATCTACAAACATTATTTCATTCCTTCTATTCGATTTCTGCTCACTGTTCATACAATATCATATCACAGAGTCATCTGAAGAAACTAGACACATTCACTGATACATTTGTGAAAAAATGGACTGGATTACCACCCTGTGTAACAAATGCTGCTCTTCACTCGAAACCTGGCCTAGACATCACTTCAATATCCACCCTGTACAAAACAACTAGCTATGACGCAAGCATACACTTGGATAAGAATACTGGGTGTTGAAACAGTTAACTCTGCCTTACAATCTAAGTTAGACAGGGAAAAAAATTGGCTTCGAAAAAATTCCACCACAGACTATGCAGAAAATATTTAACATGGTATAGAGTATAAAGATCTGAGTTAGAAGAGATTAAATCATTTGAAAGCAAAATTCTTTGCAAAATTATTTAGTCGTTAAACACACAAATATATTTATTTTACTAATTTCTGGATTTTTCTGCTTATTTGTTAAATAATAGCAATAATCTTCAATTTTTTAAAGTGTTAAGTGTAATGCATATATAAAGTATATACCCTCTATATCAGGGGCGGATATAAGATACCTTTTATAACTCCATACTAATTANGAGGGGGAGGGGGGTCCAAAAATCGTATTTTAGGAAATTAACTCATAATATATATATTTTTTATTATGACGAGTTGTGTGTGAGTGAACTTTGCTGAAGTAACCGAACTAAAAGTTTAAGCATCTGCAAAATGCCGCAAAAACTTTTACTATCATGAAAATAGTCGTCTTTACACAAGTTCAGACTAATCAATAGGGAATGTATTTTTTTTTGAAGGGAAGGGGTCAAGGCAACTGGAACTGTTACTTGTAGAGGCAGCAAATGGAGTAACCCCTGCTATTCAGGGCCTGAAAATATGTTCAGGGGTAATTACACCTAGAATTCTAGGGGGGGGTATTTAACCCCAGGATTCTAGGGGGGGTATTTACCCCTAGGATTCTAGGGGGGGGTAAATAACCCCAATAACCCCCCTTATTTACGCCACTGCTCTATATGTTTAAGTTTATCAGTAAAACATCATTTTTTATTGAAGGTTGGAAAACAGACCCCCTCCCACTGTGTGGGTATTTTAGGGGGTCAGTGGCCGAATTTAAAGAATTTGAGCGGCGGTTTAAATTTAAGCCGCGGCTTAAATATGGTTGGTTCCACTTAAAATTGTATCAAATGTTTCAAGATTTAAGCCGGCGCTAAATTTAACCCGGGTTTTGGCGGATTTTGGCGGATTTAAACCGCGGCTCAAATTCTTTAAATTCCATCTCAGGAGGGTTAAGTTAACTGGTTTTTGTCACAGACCACCTTTAGAATGATTTCAAATCATACTTACTTTCCCCGTTCATACAATTATCTTTTTGAAGAACATGAATATTTTATACCCTCTTCGGGGTGGTAAAACAGGGATTTCCAAAACACAAAAAAGAAAACAGTTAGTGAAAAATATAACATAAGATAACAAATAACTTTTATAAAACTACCAGGTAGTGACAATATTAAAAATTTGTAGTTTAGTAAAATTTTAGCATTTTGTTTTATTCTTAAATCAAAAAGAAAAAGAATAAAAGAAGATGTTAGAAAATATTAATCAAGTACAGGATAAATGAACTAAATAGCACATATAATGTGGAGACATCTGTTGGTATCTTTCTGAACTAAACAGTCCCGAAATTTACAATGGGTGGGAGGGATGTGGGGTTCCAGACTACAAAGACAGAGACAAGTGTCATATTTGAGGTTGCGTGATTTTTGTTGTTTAGTCAAATACATACATATTAAAAATTGAAATTATATACATAAATTTAGCTGTCTGTCCGTTTGTATTCAACAATCGTCAAAACGGCTGAACTGATTGGGCGCAAATTATGTGTAGATCATCACAAGTTTTTTATTATTGTAAACTTTTAAAATCTTGAAAATCCCCGAATTTTTTTTCTTTGTTTTTTTAATGTTTACAATGAGAACATGTTCACAACTGAAATAGTTAGGATGGGCATGAAGCGTCCTAAATGCCTATTAACATTAAATATGAAAAATAAATTAACGAATTAATCAATTATCATAGTGTAATGATCTAGGTCCCGAGGGTTCTCTCAATACTTGTCTCTAACTCTAATTCTGCAGTCAATCCTGACTGAATTCCTAGCCTAACCTGGCTACTTACGTCCGTATGAAACAACGGTTGATATGGTACTAATTATTGATAATAGGTAAAATAGATTGACCAGGCGGGCCGGTCAGAGTATGTAATACACATAGATAATAC